GTGGTAGTAGTAGTAGTAGTAGCAATTATAATAATAATAGTAGTAGTAGTAACTTAGTAGTAGTAGGAGAAGGAGGAGTAGTGTCTATTGTTGCTGTTGGCATTGTTGCTATTATACTTATTCTTATTGTTACTCTTATTTCGACTATTACTATTAATGCTAGTAAAACTATGATTAGTATTCTTATTAGTGTTATGATCAGTTGTGTGATTCTTTGTCTTCTTGATATTCTTATTTGACCTCTTCGTCTGATGATTATTCTTATTAGTAGTATCATTGCTATATTGAGTATTCTCCTCATTCCGCTTCTTGTTAGTAATCTCACTTTTAGTCTGATTATATTCTTACTTGTACTATTATTACATATTATAACTATTAGAATCATTATTACTACTGTTCTGATTCTTCTTCTTATTGCTGCTATTATTGTTCTTGCCACTGCTGCTGCTGTTGCTGCTGCCGCAGCTGCAGCCAACAGGATGCAGCTGTTGCGACTGCCTTCGCCCTCTTCACGCTCTTGGCCTCCCATCCCTCGTCGCCCTATCCCATCAACGTGTTTTTTGTATGAGACTGCTTGACATTTGCACGTGCTCGAAACGTCAGAGGTGGCAATCGAGCGCTTGCTTTCAAACCCGCTCGGACTCAGCGTGATTCTCGTCACCTGAAATGCTGGAGGACATGTCAGACGGGCGCGCGAAGTGTGACATGCACCCACGTATATTCCCAGGACCGCGTGTCGAAAATCTTGTTGCCTTGCCGAGCCGCGTTCCGCCTCCTTCGCCAGCTCTTCTGGTTTCAAAGGCGCAATGCCCAGATCGAGCGTCATGTCCACAAACCTGTGGACGGGACTCACAGAACTCTTGGGCACAGAAGGGGCTGTCTCTCTCTTGCAATAGTCCGTTCGAGTCCCAAGACTCCACATGAGGCCATGCGTCATGTTCGGAAGGCGCTTGCAAGGCATATACAAATTCGCCAAAGCCGCTCTTCGAAGGAGATGGTGCCGTTCGCATCGGTGTCGAACTTGTCGAAGAAAGCCTTCATGGCATCTTGGTCCACAGCCTGGCCAGCAGTCAAGTATTCATCAATTCGAGATCCGGCTTCAGAAGCTTCCCGTAGCGCTTACGTGGACTGGAGGCAGAGCTCCCAAGAGTTCAAGTTGCAGTTGCCTTGTACTTCCTGCGCAGCTTCTTCGATGGTGCTGCAACTTCAGGGACCTGCGCGAAGAGTTCTTGCAGGTTGCTCCACCCGGAGAGGCTAGCGGCGTAGGACCCTCTGCCTCATCGCCAGTGAAGACGTCAGGAGGCCCATCTTTTGCCATTCGCTTGGCGAGGTTGTCTGCAACCCAGTCCTCGGTGGACAGGCTGCTCGTTTCGTCGGGCGAAAGCTCCAATGCCACGAAACACTAACTGGCCGGAAGCAGTCTGATAGATGCACACGGCGGCAGGAACACCAATGCAAGATTGAAACATTCTCATAGAAGGCAAGTGATGCTGCGATTTTCACCGGGCGGCCACGAACTGCTCAGTGGTGAGGCCCTGGGGTCCGGTGAGGTCCCGTGTCCCCTTGCCGGTGCGGAAAGCCTGCATGACTGTCGGCTTTTCCAAAAAGCTGATGATACGTCATTGACATCGACATTGAGCTTAATAAGCGCCTCGTAGACGGCCTCTCGAACACTCACAGTGAACCTCATGGTCACTGCGCTCGACTCGCTGAGGCGGAGGCCTTGGCCGTGGCCCTGAGCGTCGCGCTTTGTTACTTCCGCCTGGGTTGCCGGATTCAGGGCCTGCAGTGGCAGATTGAGAAGAGCTGATTGCCCTCTCTGAACAGTCCACCATTCACAGCGCTGCCACTCAAGACTTAAGACTTAGAGCCTTTAAAACAACCGTCGAACTCATGCTGAATCCTGAACAGCACGAGAGACATCACTAGAGACCAAGGCCACTGCGGCGGCATGGTCCATGGCACCCAGCCTCGCTGAGCACTCCAGATTGGGGGGTATCGTTCCCCAATTGTGAAAGAAGATGCCATGAGCGATACGGGTTAATTCCTAAACGCTGCCGAGCGACAGCGCCACGACCATGCCAAGAGGGTTCATGGAGGTCTCCTCGTGAGTCCGCCAAGATTCTTCAAGAGAGTCTTCCCTTGGCGTCACCGAATATGCAGTGCACATCATGCGCTCGGATTGTGGATGTAAGAAGATGTCGTATCACCATCAGCGAATTCTCGTCCCTAGCCCCTCACACCTCCAATCATGGCGTCATCCCGCCCGTCCTCTCCACGGAGATGCATGTGCCACAGGTCGGCAACCTGGTGCACCAGCAAGAACTGAAGCGGTGCTGCAAGTCTGTTTCTGCAACAGGTCTTGCCAGGTGACCACTCGACACCCTTATACCCCCAACCCCTTCGTTTTTGCACCTGGCCATGCATGCATCCGGGCTTGCAAGGGCTAGGGCACTCGCAGTGCCGTGAGAGGCTTCGAACTCTTTGATGAGGGAGCCATCCTCGTTCTTGCCAACCAAATTCCTGTGCTGTGTCACTTTGGCTGCTGCTTCGCTGCCTCTCTTCGGGCGATATCCAAAAAACATTCCTGCTATTTCCTGCTTCGATTGAACTCAACCACGGCAGCAAGAGTCAGAGCCCATAACAGTTGTCACCGACATGTGCCGTCAAGCGTCGACGTGATGAATCCCGGGCTCCGGTGGACCTGCAATCACCAAAGTGACCGGCCGTTGCATGTTGTGCTGCATGCAAATTACGTCTTGGCTCGATCAATCGGAGAACACGTTGCTTTGCATGCGGACTGGAGGGACAGCTTGCCACCGATACATGCATCACGCTACTGCGACCTAATGCCCTGGGCCGCTGGAATTTGAATCCGGCTGCCCGGCTCCCTCCCTAATTAGCCCTAGGCCCTAGGCCAAGTCCGGAACTGCAAGATCCAGGTGCGCAAGGTTTCATCCAGACAACCGGTGACCAGTGGCCTGCGCAACTTCATCTGTCAGCATGTCACCGTCGTAGTTGTGGCAAGCCATGCCGAAGCCTCCGCCCGTCCTTCTTTCTTGCAATCCAAGGTATCGGAGTTCGTACGTGCTCTGAGATAGAAGAGAGTCTGAGAGTCGATTGAAGCAAGTGTGGAGCATAGAGGCTCTGGATCGCAAAATGAAACCCAGGCCACGGCGCAGTCGCTCTTCAACCTCTGCCTGTGCCCTTGAAGGCCCTTGAAACCCCTGGCAGTCCAGCGGATGATCTGCATGGTCGCGGCATCCTTGCTTCTTCAGAGTTTGTTGGTGTCTTTCAGCCCAACAGGCCCAGCCCTCATAACTTGGCTCAAATTTCGGCAAACCAAGATTCCACAAGATGCTCACAGGAAACAAGGTCTTGAAACCTGCTTCTATCCTCGATGAGCTCTACAAGCAACATAAATTCGCTTCAATGCATTCTAATTCAGTGTCTTGTCGCTGAAGCAGTCACACAAAAGGCTCTCCGGCCGAAAGGTTGCATGTGCTAACATATCTTCGAGCAAGCCTTCAGGTCAGCTTGCAAACCTACAAAGCACTTCTTGAATCTTGTACTTCGCGACTCGCACGGGGAATAATGATCTCGTTCTTGCAATCATCTGTCGGGTATGTGGTATCATTTGTGTACGCAGAGGGTTCAATGTAGCATCAGTTCGCAACCAGGTTCGTTGTTCTTTTCTCTAAAAACCATCGATGATCGTGCTTCTCTCGCTACCGATGAAGGTCATTTTACCTCATCATTCATTGTTGCTGCTATTGTTGTTGCTGCATTCTTTCACGTTCAATCTACCATCTGCACTGCAATGACTGTCGGAACGGAGCAAGAGGCCGTCCCAAGTGCCTCCCCACTCAAGCTGACTCCAACACTGCACTCTCATGCGCGAAGGTTGAGCAGTTGTTGCTGCAATTGCTGCGGCTTGCACTCCTGTTGGAACTACCTGTGCTACCGTTGTTGTTGCTGCGTATTGCTGCATGCAACGTCCATGTCAGGAGCATCCCTAGCGGCCTAACGACAAGGCCAAGCTGCCGAGATCAGGTGGACGAGCTCCCCGCCAGTCTTGTCCAGCAGCCCTGCCTTCAGGTAGGCATCCTGAGCCCAGAACTTTCCAGAAACAAGGCAGTTCAAGGGTTCAGGGGCGGGAGCCCAGCTCCTTGTATTGGGCGTCGAAAACCGCTTTCATCTTCTGCCAGAAGCCCTCCTGCCACTTGAAGACAGTCCTGGGATGAGGCTGACCGGCCAATCGCTCCCTCTTCCGGAAAATACTCAAGCACGCCAACTGGCTCGGTCCAAGGGTCTTCTTTGTCACCACGTACGGCACAATCTTGGCCTGCAGTCAAAAGCGTCTTCTAGAATTTCTTCCAACCTCCAAGCCCTGCGAAACTCTCCTTCCCAGAATGCTCCGCCTCCAGGCAGCGATCGAAGAAGATGCGAGCTAAGTCCTTCGAGGGGGCTCGGCTAAGTGTCTCGAGCACTTCAGGTTGTTCTGCTTTCGGTTTCGACCTTGATATGGCGGTTTCACAACACCTCAAAAGTAGCTGGATCGAAAATTGCTTATCAGGTTCAGCCACATTCTCCGGTTGCAAATGCTCTGAAAGCTGCCGAAATTAGCTGCGCTCGGATCATTCGGGTCTGCTCGCTTGACTACGGGCAAAACAATGCAAGGCACCTCCACGTTGTCCAGCGGATTGTCATAAACAACCTCAGCCACCACGACTCTCAGCTCACGGCACCGGAGCTCCTGGCTCACACTTTCTGCTAATGCTGCTTTAGGGACGACAGCAGACTCGTCATCATGAAGCACGCGCCCGTCGACAATCACGGGCTTCTCCTGCGGCTTGCTAGATGTAAACCGATTCTGCCTGCCCAATTCACAACTTATGCTAGGGTTTCTGGTGGTTGGGTTCGGGTGTTATCTGGGCTTTGGGGTGCAGCGTTGCTGGGTATCCTTCTCCCTTGTCCTGCATTCGGCGCATTATGCCAATCCGAGAGAAAATTGGTGCGAGTAGCCTGAGGATTTTCTCAGGGATTATCGGTATGACTCTCCTGCTGCTCCTGTTTCTGAGGGCAAGCTTGCTCATTCTCGGATTGTTTCCCTGGTAAGGGCACGTGTCGTGGATTTGATTCCCAGCAATGCGCACACATCAGGCAGCTGTCACCCGCTGTCAAACTGAGTGATGCAACGAGGAAAGAGAGTGATGCCCCTTTGCGCCGCTCCTTCTCGTTCTCCGGCCAATAGGTTGTCAAGACCTCATTGAGATGCAGAGGAGCTGCAGTCCGAACAATCTCTCTCCCCCAAGGTCATGCAGCCTCACCACCTCATCGACCTGCTGCGCTTGAGTCCCGTAGATATCTGTCTATGATTGTCTAAGGTCTATGTACATGCGTTGGGTTCCTTCCATGTGTTGGTCAGCTGACACCACAGTCTGGGAATCGCACCTTGCCCTTTCCCACAGCCTGCAGATCTTCGTGAGCATGCTGGTCTCTCATGGAGAAATCAGAAACGACACCAACTAGGTCAACTGCAGTCTACAGTCTGCTGTGCGAGAGAGAGCCTTCCAGCTGGCTCCGTACTCTCCACCGACGGCATGACGCTCAAAGAAGACTGGGTTCTCGAAACCCAGCTTGATGCCTCGAGGAGGCATCCCAGTTCTAGCGGGTTGCAGGCGCGGGACGCTGCCAGATGTAAAACGCAAACCTTCGCGATCCTGGCACCCCTGGATGAGACCTCCCCACAAAGGCCTGGAATGTGGATCGTGTCTCTGGAGATGGTGATTCCGTTCCAGCCCCTGGATCACTCTGAGCTTGGCTGGACCGCAAGGAGCAGAATCACTCGTGCAAGACATCCGATCCAAGCAACCCACCCAGGTCCAACGACGTGCGAAACCCCCTGAGCATGAGACCTTCGCATCGCACCATTTGGTGAGCCAAATGGCTTCTTCAAGCCGAACTCCTTCACCTGCCCCCAGAAAGAGCCCGGAGTGCCGTCTGTGCGCAGCAGGGCGTAAACAGCATCCAGGCCAGACCGACTATCTTCAAGCAGATTGCATGCCTGCTCCGTGGTCGGGGTGATGGTGGGCTCCTGGACGAGGCACCAGCTCAGCATAGCTCGGCGATCCACTCCCCGTATCCCTGCGCCCGCACCTTGAAGATGGCTCCCAAGCGCTTGCCGGAGGCTACCGCGTCATGCAGCACCTCCCGGGTTCACCAAGAGAGGATCATCAACACTGTTGAGAAATTGAAAAGCGCAAGCCGAACCTAACTATGCCGCATCCTCCTCTCACCGTTATTCATCTTCGTCCTCGTCCTCATGTGTAATCATCCTCATCCTCCCGTCCTTCTCTTCTTACACGGCTCTACCGAGATTGAGGTTCTTCCGCGACGATAGGGCATGTCCGCTTCAGATCTCAAGCAAGAAACTGGCTTGCCTTGTCGTCGGTTTGGTCCCGGGACTTGCAACTTAAGTCGAAGTATTCCCACTTGGAGGTGTCCACGAAGGGCTCGACCCACTTTTCCTGCGCAGCGTCCAGCGATTCCCTTGAAGCCCGCAAACCCTGAAAAGCTGACTCGAGAGTGGACCCTAGCATCCGAGTCGGAAACCACCAATTTGTATAATTACAAGTGCGTACATACATGTACATGTACATATCTTTATGTTTATGTATATGTATATACATACATATATATATATACATATATATATATATATGTATGTATGCTACCCCCCTCCCCAAAAGATCTATGCTGGTTTACTCTTTGCTGTGCTTTTACGGCTTAGACAGTCTACCAACGATAACCCGAAACACAGTCACCCGTTGAATCGTAGCTTATTGGGTAAGGGTTTGGAACCAAGAAAAGCCTTACAACTACCCTGAAAGAATACCCCTCTATATACCTTGAAGAATTTCATATGGAACGTTTACAGAATACCTTCCTAAATCTTGCCTACAGAATACCGTTTGCACAATACCTTATAGAGTACAGAATACCTTATACAATACCATATGGCATACCCGATAGATAACGATTTGGGGGTTTCAGAAAATAGGGGACCTTAATATAGTACCCTAAACAGTAGGATCCTTATTATAAGGACCCCAAAGTAGGGTGCCCTAATTTTCGGAAACCCCATTTAAATAAGGAAGATCAGGAGGCCCAAGATCTGAGAACTCACCATTTAAATTCTTAGGATTTAGGGTTTAGGGTTTAGGGTTTAGGGGTTGGTTTAGGGTTTAGGGTTTAGGGTTTAGGGTTTAGGGTTCTGCCTTTTTGAATAAGGGATTTCTAGCAAAGAAACCGGGACTACCTTACAGAATAGCCTTTCTACAAGCCTTAAAGAAGTTCACATAAAATACTCTAATACCTTATAGCATACCCTAAAGGCCTGGTATACCTTATTGAGTACCCTGTAGCCCATATGATAAGACTTTAAATACCTTATAGATTACCTACCTATATACACACCCTATGGAATACTTTACACAATACCTTCTGGCATACCCTATAGAATACCCGATGAAATGCGCGATTATATACTTTATGAAATGATCCTCTATATCCTATATATGTTATATTGCGTACCATTTGGAACACTCTATGGAATACCTTAAAGTATACCCTATGTAAATGATACCTCATGTATAGCTGATATATATATATATATACCCTATATGAAATTTAGCGCTATCGAACCGCCTTTCGCTGTCCCCGTATTCAAAAAATGCAGCGGTTCGATACCACCAAACTTTCTGAAACGACACCCTTCGGAACGTTTCATTCTGTCGAAACGCCCCTGCTTGTTGTCCGAATTTGCAAGGTAACACTGCGGTTCCATAGCACCTATTTTCTGAAGGAAACCCTTCGGAAGACAGAAGTTCGATGGCACTAAATCTTGTGAAAGGAAGACCTTCGGAAAGCTTGGTGCTATCGAGCTGCCCTTCGCTGCCCTCATTGTTAAATACTTCATATAAGGCTCCTTGTATATATGCTATATAGAATACCATCTGGAATACTCTGTAGCATACATGGTAGAGTACCCATTGTACATGATACCCCCTGCATACCTTGTATATACCCTACAGCCTTTAAGAAAGTGGCGCTATCTAAACCCCTCTCGCTGTCCTCATTTTTGGACAACGCAGCATATCAAAATAATCGCTTATTTCGGATGAGTCGGAAAGTTACCCAAATAGCCAAATTATCCAACTGTATCCAAATTATGTGAAACAGCTCATTTCGGACAATTCAGATAAATCATAAGTTTCCGAAATATCCGAATTATGTGAAATAGAGCGCCAGGCGGAGTAGCGGCTGAGAGACTAGAAGGGCTGCAACGTGAATGACGCAGTTGTTTCAGGCTGAATTGCTATACACATGTAGCAGACATGCACATGCAGACTGCCGCAGATGCACACATTATCATATCATATTATATTTTATTATGTTGTGTTGTGCTGTATTCGATTATTTTATGCTGTGTTACATTATATTCGAATATACAATATATTATATTACATTCTATTATATCATATTATATTATATTACATTATATTATATTCTACTATACTACATTATATAATATCATATAAATACACATATATATATATATTTATATTTATATATACATATATATATATATATATATATATATCATATATCGAATATGTGTGTATATACATATATGTATGCAGTATACACTTTCATACACATGCACATATTTGTATAAAATTGTGTGTATATATATATACATATATATATATATACACATATGGTCCCCCCCAAAGATCCAGGTATTTAATCTGTTTCCATCTTCCAATCACGATCGTGTCCTCATGACCATCCTTCCAGTCACGATCGTCTCCTCCTTCCACTCACGTGTCTCAGATCATCTCCTCATGACCGCACAAACCGACCATATTGGAACCCAATGCGGCCCAATATTTCAATATGGCCCTGCGGAGGGCCACACTGAAATCTTGAGCCACATTGAGTTTCAATATGGCAGATCCAAGATCCAAGATTCCGCAGGACTTTTGGGGAGGAAACGTGGATCACGGATCTTGGACCCGCATGATCTGCCATATTGAAATTCGATGTGGCCTCAATATATCAATATGGCCCTGCAAGATTCCTCGGAGTCCCGTGCCATGTTCGATCTTGGATCCGCAATATTGAAATTCAACGTGTTTCAATATGTCAACGCTTCTTGGTTTTGTTATCTCCGCGTAGTATAATATAATATAATAGAATATGATATAATATGATATAACAAAGTCTAATACAATGTGAACATATAAATATATATATATGTGGGTGTGTCATGTAAAGGTATTTGTAGATGTATGTGTATATCAATGTGAAGGTGTATGTGTACGTGTTTATGTGTTGTGTAGGTGCATGTGCTTGCGTATGTGTATACGCATCTGTGTGTGTATATATATATATATGCAATATCCACACGTATACGTTCAATGATTGTGATTTCTAGGGGGAGAGACGGAGGGAGAGAGGAGGAGACTGAGAGAGAGAGGTGCATACGAAACATATCTAGATAGAAAGAAAGAGAGAGATAGAGTGAGTGAGTGAGTGAGTGAGTGAGTGAGTGAGTGAGAGTGTGTGTGTGTGTGTTTGCGCCGCGGGTGTGTGCAGGTGTGTATATACAAATACACCCGATATACTATACAGGATACATCAGATAGGACGCAATAGCGCAAAGTAGCGTGGCAAGCGCATGGAGGTCAAGTAACGCCTATCGAATACTGTCAGATCATAGACCCTGTGATGGAGGGATCACGAACCGCACGTTCGAGTAGCTCAAACCGATGTTTCTCATGTCACTGTAGGATCCGGGCTCTCGCTGTTCATCTTGGTGGCGCCTGCAGGAGGGAACTGAGGGAACCGTGGCTGCAAGGCCCGAATTCAGGGTGTTTTGGGTTCAGAATGGCGGGCTGCGGTTCGCGCTGTCGCCAGCTGCTCAGCTACGAGTGAAGAGTTCATACTGCCAGGAAAGGTGCCAGTGATTGGGCACCAGGCAGACGGTCCTCATCTGATTTCCTCGCCTTAGCGTACGATGATCCCTTTCCGGCAACTAACTGCCTCACCGGAGCCCATGTTCTGAAACAAGTATACAGAACTCCCTGATCTTAGCAGCCGGCTCTAGGAGATCGGACAAAGCCTCCGGAAGATTGTTGCTTTCGATGGCTTTTGACTCGCTCTCCTCCCTGTCTCCATGAAACCGAGCCAGCTTGCCATGAAAACCCCTTGTGGCTTTGACACCAGGGGCCTCCGCTGTCTTGCACTCCTCCTCCCGCAGGTGCTCAATTTGCACCGCGCCGGACTGCGGCGAGTTGCAGGCACGGATCCGGCATCCACGAAACCCCAAAGGCCAAAGGCACCTGAATCCCATGAGTCAAATCCTAAACTCGCCAACTCAAGCTTCAAATCTGGAGGTTTTCGTAGCATAAGATAGTAAATCTACAACTTCATAGCGCACTATCATATAACAGAATATAACATCGTATGACATATCACAGTACAGTAAGGTATACTATACCATCTAACTGTATCGTAAACTATACTCTAGTATGTAACTGTTCAATAAAACGGTATATTTTAGCATAAAATCATGTAACATAACATAATTCTGGCCTTGTCCACGCGGACGTTGAGCTTCTGCTCCAAAGCGGCCGACTGAGCCAATGCCAAAGACAAGAGTCCGCAGGGGTGCACAGAATCACTTCGCCCTAGACCCTGATCGGGAAGCCCTCGGTGTGATACATTCCCCCGGGTGATATGCACTCTGAAGAAAACACTGGAGGTTAAACAAAAAACTTAGGACGACTAGCCTGTGACAGCACTTGCCTTGACTCCCCCTATCCTGCTGAAAGTTAAGCGGCACTCCAAGGTAGGCATCACAACAACTTGGCTTGTCTTGTCTTCGGGGCCTAGGGGACTTGTCAGGCCCCCGCGCCGAAAGGCGACCCCTGTTTCAGTTAGTAGAACCCTTGCCCATTTCGGGTAATAATACCACCAGTCAACCCATTAGACG